CTCGTAGACAACAATATTTTCCAACCTGTAGACGCGCGCTTATCATCAATTATATATATATATATATAACAAATTTTTATTGTAATTGACACAGCCCCGCGACGTTTTACGCCACGGTGCAAAGTCCAGCAAGTGCCGCACGGCCGACGACGTCCCGCCGCTATACCGTAGTCTTCTTCCCATTGTCAAAATAACATCGTCAACAAACTGATCCGCACTCGCGCACCGTCGTCATCTACGCTGCTAACCTATTGACGCCCGAGGATCACGCCGGACATCGCGTCTTCGACGCCAGCAAAAGTGCCGCGATATTATGCGAAGATTATATATTCCTACCGCCACCGCTAATATTAATATATATATATATATATATATATATATATTAATATTTATACGTATATACGTATATGTTAATATTCATTTATATATTCCTACAGCCGACGCCTCTGCCGCCGTATATGCCTCGTGTATAATGTTCCCTCCGCCATGCCCGCCCACATAAACACGGCTTTACCCCATGCATGATACGTTTACGTACTTAAGTCCCTTTAAATATATATATATTCTAATTACTATTAAAACTTATATATTAATACACTTTATTCTCATTAAGAGATATGTAGTGTATTCATTCCGATTACGGAGGATGATTCTCGTATTGTTATTTTNATGGAGGATGATTCTCGTATCGTTATTTTTCGTCACTACCTCCACGTTACGCGCCTGCTGCTTTCCTTGGATGTGGTAGCCGTTTCTTAGACTCCCTCTCCGGAATCGAACCCTTATTTCCCGTTACCCGTTACAACCATGATATTGATATTAACTACTATCATAACATGAAACTAAAAAGTGAAAAATAAATATAGTTTAAAAAAACTAAAAAACACGCTTTTAAAGCACATCGAACTAAAAAGTTAAAAATAATTTTTAAAATTAACTTAAAACAATAATGAACGAAAAATACTAGTATTATTGTGAAAAAAAGCGTCGGGCGCTCAATATACAAAAAATATGGCATAAAGCACCCACGCTTTTTTTCACAATAATACTAGTATTTTTCGTTCATTATTGTTTTAAGTTAATTTTAAAAATTATTTTTAACTTTTTAGTTCGATGTGCTTTAAAAGCGTGTTTTTTAGTTTTTTTAAACTATATTTATTTTTAACACGCTTAAATTAGTTTCACATGTATGTTTGTTGTTTGTAACTCTCCACGCGCCCCGTGTTTTTATTTTCGCGTATCCCGTTGTCTATGGCCTTGAGACTAGACTGTCGTAATACGTTACCCTACCCCGCTCACCACATGCCGACAACACTATTCCTGTGTAATTTTATTTTTGGTTTTCGTACCCGTATATGCGTGCGTGTCATCAATTATACACAGGTGTTCAGTAAGTTAGGAAACAGGTAAATTGTTAAAATCAATGAGAACAATAGAAACCCGTTTCCTTAATTAATGAACACTGTATACAGAGTGTTCAGTAAGTTAGGAAACAGTTAAATTGTTACAAACAATGAGTACAATAGAAATTCGTTTCCTTATTTACTGAACACTCTGTATATATTTATATATTCCTACCGCCTCTGCCGCCGTATATGCCTCGTGTAAAATGTTCCCCCCGCCACGCCCGCCCACAAAATACGGCAATACCTATTGCATGATACATTTANCCCGCCACGCCCGCCCACAAAATACGGCAATACCTATTGCATGATACATTTAAGTCGCTTTATACATTTTAATTACTATTAAAATTTATATATAACACGCTTTATTCTTATTAAGAGATATAAAGTGTATTCATTCCAATTACGGGGGAAGATTCCCGTATCGTCATTTTTCTTCTCTACCTCCACGTTCCGGAAGTGAGTAATTTACGCACATGCTGCTTTCCTTGGATGTGGTAGCCGTTTCTCAGTCTCCCTCTCCGGAATCGAACCCTAGTTTCCCGTTATAACCAATATATAATCAATATCAATTGATAGTAACTACTATCATAACATGAAACTAAAAATTGAAAAATAAATATAGTTAAAAAAAACTATAAAAACACGCTTTTAAAGTACATCGAATTAAAAAAGTTAAAAATAATTTTTAAAATTAGCTTTAAACAATAATGAACGAAACACACTAGTATTATTGTGATAAAAGCGTGGGTGCTTTGTGTTATATTTTTCGTATATTGAGCGCCCGACGATTTTTTTCACAATAATACTAGTATTTTTCGTTCATTAATGTTTTAAGCTTATTTTAAAAATTGTTTTTAACTTTTTAGTTCGATGTGCTTTAAAAGCGTGTTTTTTAAAACTATATTTTATTTACAATATTAGCAAAAGAAAAAGTAGGGTTGACGATACCAGAGCGTTTAATTTGAGCAGCTTCAGAATAGGATTTGTTTTTTGTGACCATAATTTTTTTTATTTTATATAATTATGGCCTGTCAGATCACAGTGGCCACAGCATTCTTTACTACGGCAAAACTTTTGATGTTAAGAATAACAAAGAAAAAGTTAAGAATGTTAACTTGACCAAGTTTTACTGGATATAAATTACCTGTATTGTTATTGTCGGACGTAGAAACTAACATATAAAAAGGTTCAGAATAGTTATCTGGAAGGGATTTAGTATTGTCATTATGTTTGTTATAAAATGAATGACAACTTAAAATCACTATCATAAAAAATACTTTAGATACCAATTTTTTTGTATCAACGAATGTAAATTATTTATTTCTAAACCTGTCTTTAGTACTAAAACTTCAGAATATAATAAAAGTCACGTTAGAACTACCCAATCGACTTAAAAAAATAATTGATAATAATTTTGAAGAACTTGAGCTGAGAGCATTAAAATAATTATATAAATAAATAAAATTAAATTCATATAAATTAACAGTTTAATAAAAAAAATAATAACTGAAAAGTATTTAATGATCAACCGTCATTTAATAATATCATATGTATTAGCTAACGCTTTATTTTTTAAATATGATATATGTTTTTGGTGGTATTTTAGGTTAAAATCACGTAGAGTGTCAACTAAAACTTTTTTAAAAAAATTCGATATTTCACAAAATGCCTATTTTAATTTATAATAAAGTTAAAATGGTTCTCATTAAAATTTAAATGATCGTTTTTTTTATATATTTTTTTGACATTTATTCATATGCACATAAACAGAAATTTTTTGTTCAATTTAGCTACAAATTATTTTCATGCTATTTATTCATTAATATGTAGTGAGTTTATAAATAAAAATCTGATACCAGTTGGCATGTCATAATAAAAATCGTTAAACAGTGTTTCTTAATAAAAAGTATTTTTTCCTAATATTATTATATTTATGACATAGTATTTACTAGTCATATTTTGAATATTAATACAATTTATTTCTAACTGATTAAAACTTTTAGAAGAAACAATGTAAATTTTTGGTGGTTTAAACACGCAGTATTTAAAATGAAACAACCACGATCATATTCCCGGTCACATAAATATATTTTGTTTACCTATTATTACCTGTATACTCAGCCGTAACTTTTTGCTAATGTTTTATTTTAGTATGGAAATAAAAAACTTTATTAATATTATCATTAGATTGAAATAAATTTTGTAAGAGAATGGTTTTTTTTTAATAAGAAGACTGATATAAAAAAATTAATTAATAACTTTTCGAAAATGAAAATGACAATAATACTAAATATTCAAGTGTACTTACTTATTTATTTCGCTGTTTTACATACTGAAGGAACGCACAATAAAAAAGTAAACGCGGCTATCATAAATAATTTTCTATGTCAACCAGGATGGAATAATATAAATGATGTCGAATTTATTAGTTATTGGGGAAAAATCTATGAACTGGAAAATTTATTTATTAAACCTGTAACATTATATAATTGCGATAATTGCATACGGCAAGCAACGATATTTCTTGGATGTTCTTACGCTCATGATTTAAATTCAATACTCTTATCATTAATTAAATTTCAACAACATTGTTCTGATCTATTGAATTCTGGCGATGATAGTGCGTATAATTGTACAGTCACACTTTTAACACAAATGATAGAAATTGTTCCAATGGCAAAATTTATGAAAGGAGCTTTGTATGTAATAGAAAAATATCATACTATTCCCTTGAACACTCAAAAAAGAACCCGTTTTATTTTAAGCAGTATACTAACAAATATACAGAAAGACGAAACTTTATTGACTACGTTGACGTTCAGTTCGGATTCTATTAGAGATGTATTAGTGACTATCGCGTCAATATTATTCGCAAGACGTCTTGAACTTGATGAAGAAAAGTTATTTTGTCAACTAAAATATTTAGATTTTAATTCATTGTGGGATTTATGGAATATGGAATTTAATAAATTAAGATATCAAGGAAAAAACCAAGAACTTTTCATTTTTCTAAGTGATAAAATTAAAAATTTAATTTTAACGACAATCATGAAAAAGTATATTGAACTTGGATTTAAATATGATTGGAACACAAGTCAGACTTTTTTACCTGCTCTACCACCTACCAATGTCAAGCATAGTATAAATATTTCAGTAATATTACATTTATTTGAAATAATTTGTTGTTAACATATTTAGATACCGCACAAAATATTTCAAAACATTTTATACAAAATACCAGTAAAGTAGATACGCAAGAAGCAAATCAGCAACATGGTAAAGTTTCCTTAATACTTAATTTAGCTACAATTGATCTAGCTACTATTTTAATATGTCTAGATATTACAAAGTACCATTCGATACATACCAATGATACAGAGAAACAAGAAGGCATTAAACAAAAAAGTAATGATTTTATTATACACTAAAATACTTTTATTTATTTATTATATACTATTACCATTAGGAAGCAATTTACTCATTCATAATACTTTGTCCATTATGTATGGAAACTACAACATTTTCTCGGCAAAGCCAAAATTTTAAATCATATTCTATACATTATCATTATAAAACGCTTTAATTGTATGAACTAGTTGTAGACAATAAAATAAGTATAAATGAGATATATAATAAGTAAGAAGAAGTTACATAAAATTAGAATAAATGCTCTTTAATTTTTAATCATTATATAATATATAACCGACTATTTTCTGTATTCTTTTTAAAATACAAAATTGCACAGATAAATTTTTTGTTTTTTTTTATCTTAGCTAGACAGTACACAAACATAAAAGACAAAAATATTTACAATGATATTACATAATGTGTCTACAATTGGTTAATAAAGTTCATTGTTTCAAAGAAATGTAATTAGTTCCATTTCATTTTTAGCTTCGATGCGAAGCTGAGAAGGTATTAATTTTACTATGATGTGTTTTTTTATTTTTTTTTTTGTGTCTGTGAACGCTCAATCTCAGCTCTCGCTGGACCGATTTTGATGAACAATATGTCAAAAGATCACAAATCGTATCTAGTCGAAGACATTACCCTCAAAAATTGAAAAAAATTCCCTCGTTCCCCGTAAACGGGGGAAATCCCCCAAAAAATTACAAATTTAAAAATCGCTAATTTTCGATATTTTTTCAATTTTTTTTACTTAAAATTGCCATAACTTTTTTAAAAATGACCGAATCAATATAATTTTTTTTTTTATAGATACCTTAGATAATTACCTATCATTTTATATATTTTTGTGAACATTTGACCCTTTAACAGCCCAAAGGATGGGGTTTCAAAATGGTAACTTTTTTACAAAAAATTAACTTTTTCAACTTAACTTTTGAAAATGTTCCGGAAAGACTGACAATTTTATATATACCTTAAATTAAAGCTAATGTAATATACTTTAATTTGAAAAAAAAAAATTTGACCTCTGGACTTGTCTTCATGGTGAAAATGACTACCGTATGCAAAAATATGCTATTTTTGTGAAAAAATTCTTGATATTATATTTTACATTTTTTAACATTATGTTGCTATAACTTTTTAAAAAATGCATGAATCAACTTTATTCTTTAATGATAAATACTTTATATATACTTCTTTCATTCGACATACTTTTTTTTAAAATCGGACCATTTCCCTTTATACAGGGGGGGTGCAAACCTTTTAAAATGCGTATAGAAAGTAGAACTTTTTCAACTTAACTTTTGAAAATGTTCCGGAAAGACTGACACTTTTATATATATCTTAAATTAAAGCTTATGTAATATACTTTAATTTGAAAAAAAAAAATTTGACCTCTGGACTTGTCTTCGTGGTGAAAACGGACATCAAAGTTAAAGAAAAACGTACGATTTCCGTGAAAAAAATCTCGATTTTATATGTTATATTATTTAATTTATATTTTATATAACTTTTGGAAAAATGTATGGATCAATATTATTATTTTTTTATAATAAATATTTATATACTCCTTTCATCTACACGCTTTTTTTGTAAATCGGATCATACCCCTTTAACAAGGGGGGTCAAAACTTTAATCATGCGTATTGTTACTATGATATTTTCAATTTAATTTTTGAAAGTATTCCGGAAATACTGACACTTTTATATATATCTTAAATTAAAGCTTATATAATATACTTTAATTTAAAAAAAAAAATGTGACCTCTGGATTTGTCTTCACGGTAAAAATGACTACCGTATTCAAAAATTTGCTATTTTTGTGTTAAAATTCTGGGTTTTGTATTTTATTTTATTTTAAAATACCTGACAAGGGGAGTACAGATTTTCATAAATATTATATAAATAAAAAATTAATATAGCATAGAAAGTTAAACTTATTTAAATTTGTTTGCTTCTTTTAAGTCGAGAAAAATAACTTTGAAATTTGAACTAGCTTAAATAGCCTATTTTTTCACCCGACGGTAGCGACGTACGGTTGCCGAGTTGGTAAAATTTATGTTTTACACGCTTGGGGTACGAGGTTCCAACCCGCGTATGGCAATGAATTTTTTGCATTTTTTCTTAATTCTTTTTAAGTTAGTATAAATTTTTAACTCGTTTGATTTTTATCACATTTAGATTCAATAACTTCAATAAAGATCAAGGATCCCATCACTTTAGTCGCCCCTTGCAAGAAGAAATTTCTTATTCGTATTAAAATTATTTTACTATATTTTAAGTTTTCGCTTCGATGCAAAGCTGAGAAGATATTTTTTTGTGACTATCATTTATTTTCTCTGCTCTAACTTGACCTACTTTTTTCAACAATACGTCAAATTACTACAATTCGTATTATTTATTGGTTATTTTAGTTAAAGTAAAACATTAAAATTAATTCAGTTCATATTTTAATTGTAGTATCTTCTTAAACACCAAAAGATACTACGAAATGATTACTATTATTTCTATTTAAGTTATCTATTACGATAAAAATGCAAAAAAATATTGAGTTACTCTGATAAATTTACTATAAATAGTAATTATAAAATTTCCTGACTGCATATTTTTAACATATTAAAAATCAAATCAGTAATAATTTGAAAACATTTTTTTTTTTTTTTAATTATTATTTTATATGTAATTAGTATAATATAAAAATGTATAACTGATAGAAAAAGTCTAATTGCAGATTTGAAAACAACGCGAGAAGTTGATTTAGAAAAGTAAATTTTTGCTTCTGATGAAAGTTTCTTGTAGTCCAGTGTATTTATTCATAAGTAACAAATTTTTTATTTATTTTTTTCAACGATACGTCAAATGACTACAATTCGTATCTAGGTTGAAGATATTACCCTCAAAAATTGAAAAAAAATTTTAATTTATCAATTAAACAGTTAGTTATTCCATTTCCTCCATACAAACAATTAAAATCATTAATTTCTAATGTTTCAAAGTATTTATTGACGAATCAAGTTTGATATGATAGGTTTCAACTACAAAATTAAATCATTTTACTTTGTAATTTAATAATTTTTTTACTCTATTTGTGTGTGCTACTACTAGACTATCATATTACAATTTTTTTTTGTAACATGTTGCTATATAAATCATTTCTAAAAAAAATGATTGTTTTTTCTCCTGAATTAACAATTGATTTTTACAAATATAATCAAATTGTATTATACGCTCAATTTTTTATATGTAAATACTCATTTTTTACTAGTTAGTAATAATATCAAAAATTAGAAGTGATAGAAAAAGTCTAATTTTAGATTTGAAAACGGCGCGAAAAGTTGATTTAAAAAAGTATATTTTTGATACTGATGAATGTTTCTTGTAGTCCAGTATATTTATTCATAAGTGACAAAAAATTCATTAATTTGTTAAAATTAAATATTATCTACAAATTTTTTTATATGTAAATACTATTTTTTAATAATATTAAAACTTAGAAGTGATAGAAAAAGTCTAATTGCACATTTGAAAACATTGCGAAAAGTTGATTTTGAATAGTATATTTTTGTTTCTGATGAAAGTTCCTTGTAGTCCAGTGTATAAAACTTATAACTTTGTTAACTGTTATAACTTTAACAAAAATGACCAAATCAGTATAATTTTTTTTATTTAGATGCATGTCTTTTCTATCATTTGTTTTTTTTATAAATCTAACTCTTTACCTGCCCACAAGTGGGATTCAAAATTATAACTTTCTTTTTTTTTAGCTAAAGTAAATCATTAAAATTAATTCAGTTCTGGATATTTCAATTGTAGAATCTTTTTAAATACTAAAAATTACTTAGAAATGATTACTATGATTTCTATTTAGGTGTTCTATTACGATAAAAATACAAAAAAATAATGAGTTTTTCTGATAAATATACTGTAAATAGTAATTATAAAATTTCCTGACTGCATATTAGTCTTAAAAATAGCATAGTTTTAATTCTCATAAAATTTTCTATTTAATGATTCATTCTAGTCAACGAAGGATTAATTTTGGAGAATAGCAGAAAAAATTCTCAACCAATTTTTTTTTCTTTGTTTTAATTAGGCAATTGGTGGATTATTCTAAAAGCAACATCAACTCTTATTTCTTTAATTATATCCTGATTAGTAGTTCTTTGATTTTAAAATATAATATATGAATAAATACCAATTATAATTATTAAATTTAGTATGAAATTGATATTCAATAATTTAATATTGTAATTTAAACGGAGAAATTATAAAAATAATAAAGAAGTTGTATTTTGCTTTATTTTTACGTGTATAAAAATTTAAAGGGCTTAATACAATAATTTTCAATAAAAACTGTTTGTTACTATAAATGAATGCACTGTACTTCAAGGAACTTTCATCAGAAACAAAAATATACTTTTTTAAATCAAAGTTTCGCGTTGTTTTCAAATCTGCAATTAGACTTTATCTATCAGTTCTTTATTTTTTTTATATTATTACTAATTACATATAAAAATAATTAAAAGAAAAAAAGAATTGTTTTCAATTTATTACTGATTTGATTTTTAATATGTTAAAAATGATCAATCCAAATTTTCATTTTTAACCTATTTTTTTGGTTCTTTAAAATTTATGAACAATTTTTGATAAAGATTTATGAAAGTTTATAGCAAAAAAAATTGAATATATTACCATAACTTTTAGCTCAATTACAAATTTAAAATTGACATCTAGGCCAGTCAACAAAGGAAAAATTTCTTAAAAAATTCCCAACCAAATTTTGTTTTATTAATAGTTGAATTAAAATATGTATAATGACATACTAATAGTCTTCATTGATTGAAATTGAGCTTTTTTTTACAGCCTCGCAAAAGTTCAAAAATATGAGCTTTTTTATTTTCTCAAAAAATATTTAACTTACAAAAAAAAGTTTTGTACAAAAGTTGTTTAAAAGACAATTATAAACAAAAAAATTATCTTACATTTTTTCATTTAAACAAACATTTTTCGAGTTACATTACATTGATTGTGAGTACTAAAATTTATATTCCATTTTTTTCATATTACGGTTGCTTTTTATAGATCATAGCTGGCCTCACAATTTCATACTGAATTTAAAAACTATAATTAGTTTTTATAATTAGTTAGTGTTTATTCATATATTATATTTTAAAATCAAAGAACTACTAATTAGGATATAATCAAAGAAATAAGAGTTAATGTTGCTTTTGGAATAATCCACCAATTTCTCTAAATGAAACACTATCTACAGATTTGCATCGAAGCGTTTCTTATGATAGTGATTTTAATC